GCCCATAATTTAGTGGGATTTTGTTTTTCTTGGTGTTGAGTTACATAAGTTTTTTAAAATATATTTTGGATACTAACCCTTTAGCAGATATATTATTTGCAAATATATTCTCCCATTCAGTCATTTTCCTTCTTTATAATGTAAAGTAAATGAGGGAAATAAGATGATAACTGAAGTAGGAAGAAGGGTTGATAGTTTTTTTGTTTGTTTTTTAAAGATGGAAGGGGAAAAAATCAGTGTATCTGTGTGTTGCTTGGAAAAATCCACTAGAGAGGAAAACTTGACATCTTGATCGAAGGCAAAGGTGGAGAGATTTGCTTTAGAAATATGTAAAATTCATCTACAGTATTTTTACATCATAAAGCCTATTATTTCATTTTCCCACTTAAAACCTATGAATGATTTCTCTTTATTTTAGAACACAATCCACAATCCTTACCCGTATATTCCAGGTTGAATCTGACTTGGATTCTGTCTTTCTTGGCTGCATCATCTCCTACCACCCTTCCTGCCACACCGAACTCCAACCAGACTGGCTTCCTTTCTGCATCCTGAAATCAAGCTTTTCTTGTGCTTCAGGAACTTGCACTGCTATTCCTTCTGCCTGGTTAACTATTTTCTTGGCTTTTTATTGACTTTCTCTTTTACATATTTTACATTTCAGCTAAAGTCTTTTTTTTTTCCTTCCAGAAAATCCTTTCCTGATAGGGGCACCTGGTGGATCTGACTTTGGCTCAGGTCATGATCTCATGGTTCCTGAGTTTGAGCCCTGCATTGGGCTCTCTGCTGTCAAAGTGGAGCCTACTTTGGATCCTCTGTCCCCCTCGGTCTGCCCCTCCCCCTCTCAAAAATGAACAAAAGTTTTAAAAAAAAGGAAAATCCTTTCCTGATAACCTTAATATGTACTCAGAAATTACTCTCTATCATTATGCACTTTCACTGACCTTATCATGATTTGTAAATATCTTGTATACATCTGTTTACTTGCTCATTATGTTTCTCCCCAACAAATCTAAGTTGTAGCTGTATGTGCAACACTTACTAAAGTGTCAGGCTCACACAGGTGGTCAATAAATAATGTTTGTGACATAAATAAATCTTAATTAAAATAATAAAACCTTAGTGTCCCAAGTTCTCTAGGCCTCTAGTGTATTTGTTACTTTAAATATACATACAACAATATGTGAACTCCCATACTGAATATAGGAGTCTAATTCTAGAAAGTCTAATTCTCTTCCCAAGTTTTTTTGAGATCACTCCTTACGTGTCCTCAAAAGCCACCCTGTCTTGCTTGTCACTGCTTTTTCTCCCTTACAGAATACCTCCAGCTGTCTCTCACTACTTTTTTATTCCTGAGCATGCTTCACCCCAAAACATGGACGAAGGTGCCTAAACACAGCTAGAGCAATGCTCTCATGTTTAAGAATTTATTAGCTCTTGGGGATAATCACATTGCTGGTAATAATAACAACCTCATAGCCAGCACTTGCTAGGACAAGACACTAGTGTGTGTGTGTGTGTGTGTGTGTGTGTGTGTGTAGTCACTTAATTATCCCACCAATCCTATGACATAGCCATTATTATCCCCATTTTCTAGATAAAACACTGAAGCATTGAGAGGATATATGAACTCCCCAAAGACATGTAATTAATAAGTGATTAATTCAGGCTTTAGTAACAGGCAGTTTGACCAGGGAGTTTGTCTTAAATGGAAGGAAACTGTAATGTAGAAAAGAAAAGGTTAAAAATTGGCTTTCTGATAATGTTCTTTCTCTAATGTATTGGCTGTTCTCTTTGATTCAAGTTCTTCTATGAGTCACATCTTTCTCAGGTGCTGGCTTATTTCCATATTACTTGGAACAACTTGGGGCTTGACTCTCTCTTTGGGGTGAATTCATTTTTCTCTCAGCTTTTAATTTCACCCTCACTACTTGTCCTTACCAGAGAGAATCCATGTATCTTAAAAGCAGAAAAATGTCTGCAAAGACTAACTCAATTCAAACTAAGCAGAGCCTTTTGCGTGATTACATACACAGCAACAGCTCTATCAGAATCATGTGCATTTTCAGTTCGCCACTCCCTATAAGGGCAAAGGGAGGATGTTGACATTCACCCCAGACTGTAGAAATGGCTGTAGCCTTTAGAATGGCACACTCTGTCCCCACTTTATATGCAAGATATTGCAAGGGTAACATGAAACAACGATGGCATTTGCTATTCCTAGGAGCTAACAGGAAAAAAAAAGAAGGCAGCATGACACATGACTGCAAGTGTTATAAAATAGCTTCTGAGAGCTGGGAAATAACAGCATTTTGTTCAGCAAAGAGATGCTACAGTGCCCGAGGTCAGAAGTAAAAATCTAAAGTGACCACCACAAGCCTTTAAGAGAGCATTCATGTGAAGGGTTTTTGGTGGGGAGTGCTCTTGAGGAATAAGAATGTTAAAAGAAAGACTGACTCCACTCAGAATGTAGAGACCCCGTTATATCGAAAATCCAACAGCAAATCTATCTCCTCTAAACTCCTTTAAACACCTAGGTGGGTTGAAGATTTAAAAACATGTGATATCTGTCCTTAGGAATATTGTCCACCTCATCACCTCACATTCACAACAAATACAAAACAGCAATACAAGCAGATGCCATTAATTAATTAAGTATCTTAAAGGCTGACTAAGTGCCTGATGCTGAGGATTTACTAATGAACAAAGCAGATAAAAATTCCTGCCTGCACTGAGCTTATGTTTATGGAGGACTTACTCCGTGCTGGACATCGTGTGCTGGGGTTTTACAAACATTTATTATTCTTCTTAATAACAACTTTTGAGATAGTTTCTCTTTTGGCAAGTTTTATACAATTCTAGAATGAAAAAAGTAAGGATTAGCAGGACTGATCAGGGTCCCGTAACCAGGAAGTAAAGGAGCTAAGCTGCAGTCACAGCCTATCTGAAGTCTATGATGATCAACATAGTCATAGCATTTACACACTGTTGATGTTGTCTCCGACGATACCAGTTTGTGTTCTGGGACTTCCTCAGCCCTCCACTGCTAACTGCAGGCTACTAATTTGCCTTCGTGTCCTCTGATCTATCCATAGACATTTCCACTACATAATAGTATTTTGTCCACAGGTATATCTGCTGATTTCACTCATTCACATGGTCATAGAAGTTCCAGTAGTGTTTCTTATTTTCTTTCTTACCTTTTTGATGAGAACATTCATGAAACGGCAGTATTGTGAGATCTCAACGTGTATGATCCTCACTAAACATAACATTATCTAGGTCCATTCAGTTGTCTAAAAGAGGATGTATTCTGGTACTTAAAAGGCCAAAGATGTCTGTTTATGTGTTCTGCCCATTTTAAAATTGGATTATTTGTTTTTGAGTGTTGATATTTTTATATATTTATATACTGCATATTTTGTTTATATAGTTTGCATATATTTTAGATGTATATTTAATCAGATATGTCATTTTCAAATATCTTCTCCCATTCCATAGTTTGCCTTTTAGTTTTGTTGATTGTTTCCTTCACTTTACAGAAGCTTTTTATTTATTTTTATTTTTTTTATTTACTAACTTTATTTATTTATTTAAATTTAAATCCAAGTTAGTTAACATATACTGTAGTAATGGTTTCAGGAATAGAATTTAGTGATTCATCACTTATGTATAAAACCCAGTGCTCATTCCAACAAGAAGCTTTTTATTTTGATGTAGTCCTAATAATTTATTTTTTATTTTCTTCCTTGCCCCAGGAGATGTACCTAGAAAGAAGTTGGCTATAGCCAATGTCAGGAAAATTACTACCTGTGTTCTTTTCTAGGATTTTTATTGCCTCACATTTTGGCCTTTAGTCCATTTTGAGCTTATTTTTGTGTATGGTGTAAGAAAATGGTCTAGTTTCATTCTTCTGCATGTTGCTGTCTGGTTTTCCCAACACCATTTGTTGAAGGGACTCTCTTTTTTCCACAGGATATTCTTTCCTGCTTTGTCAAAAACTAATTGACCATATAATTATGGGTTTATTTCTGGATTTTCTATTCTGTTTCATTGATCTATGTGTCTATTTTTTTGCCAGGACCATATTGTTTTGATTACTATAGCTTTGTAATATGACTTGAAGTCCAGAATATGATGCTTTGCATTTCTTTTTCAAGTTTTCTTTGGCAATTTGGGGTCTTTTGTAGTTCCACACAAATTTTAGGATTGTTTGTTCTACTTCTGTGAAAAATGCTATTGGTGTTTTGATAGAGATTGCATTAAATGTGTAGATTGCTTCAGGTAATATAGACATTTTAACTATATTTGTCCTTCCAATCCATGAGCATGGAACATCTGATTTCTTTGTGCCATCTTTGTCCAAAGAAGATATCTGGATGGCCAACAGACACATGAAAAGATGCTCATCATCACTTATCATCAGGAAAATGCAAATCGAAACTACAATGATATATCACCTCGCACCTGTCAGAATGGCTAAAATCAACAACACAAGAAACAAGAGGTACTGACAAAGATGTGGAGAAAGGGGAAACCTCTTACACTGTTGGTGGGAATGCAAATTGGTGCAGCCACTTTGGAAAACAGTAGGGAGATTCCTCAAAAAATTGAAAATAGAACTACCTTATGATCCAACAATCAATCACACTACTGAGTGTTTATCCAGAGAATACAAGAACACTAATTAAAAGGGATACATGCACCTTTATGTTTATAGCAGCATTATTTTCAATGTCCAAGATATGGAAAAGCTCAAGTATCCATTGATAGATGAATGGATAAGAAGTTTTATATATTTATATATATAATGGAATATTATTAAGCCATAAAAAGAATAAAATCTTGCTATTTGAAACAACATGGATGGAGCTAGAGAATACAATACTCAGCAAAATAAGTCAGTCAGAGTAAGACAAATACCATATGATTCCACTCATATATGGAATTTAAGAAACAAAACAAATAAGCAAAAGGAAAAAAATAAGAGACAAAGAGACAAAAAAAAAAACAGACTCTTAATTATAAAGAATAAACTGATGGTTACCACAGGGAAAGGGGGTGGGGGGAAGAGTTAAATAGATGATGAAGATTAAGGACTGCACTTGTCATAATGAGCACAGGGTAATGTATGGAATTGTTGAATTACTATATGATACACCTGAAACTAATATAACACAGTATGTTAACTAACTAGAATCCAAAACCTTTTAAAAAAGCCAAAGATGTGTTCTAATATCCTGAACATACATAAACTAATATTTTAAGCACAGACACACTTCATAGCTTTATCTAATTTTTTACAGGGACAGAGTATACATATGACATTTACTGTAGTGAACTTCATTAGGCCAGGAGCTATATTTCCTTATATTCTTTCAAATTAGAGTTCATCAAAATGACATATGTGCACTTGGAATGCAGAAATAAAGCAGCATCTATTATTCTCTGAAGGTCTGTTCCCAATCATATATGGTGACAGGCATTCACTTAGGTGCTTGCTCTTTATCCAATGAGGTCTCCAGACTCCTGGCCAAGGCCAACAGTGACCTTGGCTCTCCCCAGGCACTTGGCCGTGGACTCATTGATTCAATAGCTATTTAGAAGCAATGGCTTCTCATAGGCTTCTCCACAAGCTCACCTTTTATGGTTCTAATCTATCACTGGTAGTACGTAGTTTCTCTGATTTACTGGTTGGTGACTCAACCTCTGATCCAACCCCTTTTCTGGATCTATATTTTCCAACAATTGTCTAAGGTCTACTTCCTATAATAACTCTCTTATTCCAAAACATTCAAATTGACACATTTTCCACTGGTTTAACTTGGGTTGATTCATCAACAAGAAATGAATGCTGGGGCACCTGGGTGGCCATGATCTCAGGGTTTGTGAGATCCAGTCCCACTTTGGGTTCTGTGCTAACAGCACAGAACCCACTTGGGATTCAATCTCTCCTCTCTCTCTCTGCCCCTCCCCTGCTCACACCGCTCTCTCTCTCAAAATAAATAAACTTAAAAAAAAAGAACGCTGATTATGAATAAAGTGGGAAGAAGACGGCAATTATTTATTCCCACAGAATTTTCAGTAAAAGTATTTATAATCTCTTTTTAAGAATTATTGTCCCTATCTTGAAGAGATATCTGTACCGTCCCCATTCACTACAGCCTTGTTCACAATAGCCAAGACATGAAAGCAACCTGAATGGATAAAGAAAATGTAGTGTGTATGTGTATTTTGTATGTGTGTTCATTTGTGTATAATGGAATACGATTCAGCATTAAAAAAGAAGGAAATCCTGCCATTTGTGACAAAACAGATGGGTCTTGAGGGCATCATGCTAAGTGAAATGAGGCAGACAGCAAAAGACAAATATTACATGATCTAACTTATATAGGTTTCCCCTGCCATCCGAATGTATTCTTATGATACATTCATAAACTAAAGCAGCATAAAGTGAAGAAGTGATTATCATTAATTCATATGGAAAAATTTTGAGCATTCCCAGACCTAAAAACTAATCTCTCTTAGGCTTTCCTGATACCTTCAGATAAATCCTGCAAATAGATGCACAAAATAAACTGAGATAAAGCACAGATGCTCACAGACACAGTTCAAAGCTATGGTGGCTTGATGCTGAGATGTTGACTGAGGTTCCCAGGAAGGAGCTTGGTGGATCCCTCTCACTGCTCAGCCAAGCCCCCAATGTGGCTCCTTGCAAAACAAATACTGAACCCAGGTTTTGCTTTTCACTTTTTTTTGGTAAAAACGAAAATCCTCTTCATATTTCTTGCAGTTAGTGAAAACAGGTACTAATGTAGGTCTTTTGTAAATCTGAAGTGACATAACATGAACTTACAAAAAGCAGGGGATAAAAGCTGAACTTAGAAATGGAGAGTTGAATGGTGGTTGCCAAGGATTGGCAGTGGAGGAAATGGAGAGAATGTCGGTGAGAGGATATGAACTTTCACTTATAAGATAAATAAGGTTTGGGGATGTAACGTACAACATAGTGATTATATTATATACTTGAAAGTTGCTAAGAGAGAGTAGATCTTTTTTTTTTTTTTTAATGTTTATTTATTTTGAGAGAAAGCACAAGCGGGGGGAGGGACAAAGAGAGAAGGAGGGAGAAAACCCCAATCAGACTCCACACCATCAGCCTGCAGCCTGATGCAGGGCTTGATCTCATGAACCATGAGATAACGACCTGAGTTGAAATCAACAGTTGGAGATGCTTAACCGACTGAGCCATCCAAGTGCCCCAAGAGTAGATCTTAATGTCTCCACACATAGAGGAGAAGCTAAAAATGAAAGAAAAAAAGAAGTGCTGTCCTATTGGGAAAATTAATATGCCACACACGACTCAGTATTTCATTGCCTCAGATGTTTTTCCAAATGGTCTACTTGACTTCTGTTCATTTTAAGAAGTGATAACTTGAAATTGACAAGGAAAGGAATGACAGAGCAAGTCTGCCCCAAATCCCTAGACACGTTTGATTTTGCTTATAATACAAAAGATAAAAAGATTACTGATAAATCTTGACTCTGCTCCTTTAAGTCATTACTGCAGAACATAAAAAAAATTGTTCAACTGAAATGAACCACAAGTTGTTTATGTGACTGTCTGAGAATAATACATCAAAGAATATTATGATTCCTCATAAACTGACAGGGAAAACAATTTATTAGGTATAGTTTTGAAAGGATTAAAAACTGTTGGAGATTGTGCTTGAAATATACATTCTGCATCACTGAACTGAACAATTTATGTCAATAATTTATGATCACACTATTTTTTATTTAATGTGCATTTTAGCTTTTATAACCATGTTGGGAATTATTGCGAACTGAATTTCATGTAAAATATACCTGTATTTCACATTACTTTGTTTTATGCATTTTAAGGATGTTACCAGATGTGAGACTGATCCATTTCTTTCATTTATTTTTTAAATAAACATTTTATTTTTGAACAGTTTTGGATTTATATAAAAGTTGAGAATACAGAGATTTCTTATATAACCCATACCCAGTTTTTCCCTATTATCAACATCTTATATGATAGACTTGTTATAATTCATATTGATATATTATTAACTAAAGTGCATAAGTTATTCAAACTTCCTTACTTTCAACCTGATGCCCTTTTTTTGTTCTTGGATTCCATTCAGAACACCACATTATATTTAGTCATCATGTCTGCTCAGGCTCCTCTTGGCTTTGACAGTCCCTCCAACTTTCCCTGATTTTGATGACTTTGATAATCTGGGAAAATACTGGTTAGGTTTTTTTTTTTTTTCTTTAATGTTTATTTGCTTTTGAGATAGAGAGAGAGAGACAGAATGTGAGCAGGGGAGGGCAGAGAGAGGGACACAGAATCTGAAGAAGGTTCCAGGCTCTGAGCTGTCAGCACAGAGCCCGATGCAAGGCTCGAATTCAGGAGCTGTGAGATCATAACCTGAGCCGAAATTGGTCGCCAACAGACTTAGCCATCCAGGCGCCCGTAGGTATTTTGTAGAATGTCCCTAATTGGGACTTGTCTGACATTTTTCTTAGGAGTAGAGTGGGGTTATAGGATTTTGTGAGGATGACTAAGTGTACTTTTCATCACATCATATTAAGGGTAAATATGATCAGTGTGACTTAAAACTGTTGATGGCAACCCTCATCACCTGGCTGAGACAGTGTTTGTCAGGGTTCTCCACTGTAAAGTTACTCTTTTTTCTCTTTCCATACTCTTACACTTTGAATGGAAGTCACTGTATTAGGTTGCTAGGGCTGTTATAACAAACTACCACTAACTGGTTGGCTTAAATATCATAAATATAATGTTTCAAAGTTCTGGAGGAAAGAAAGTCCAAGATTAAGCAAGGTGTCCTCCTTTGAGGGCGATGAAGGAGAATTTGCTCTATGATTATTGTCCACATGTCTTCCTTCATGTTCAGTTTTCTCCTGTGTTTGTATCTTGTCCAATTTTCCTGATTTTGAAAGGACACTAGTCATGTTAGATTAGAAGCCCACCCTACTCCAGTAGAATCTCATCTTAATTACATTTACAACGACTCTACTCCCAAATAAAGTCAAATTCTGAGGTATTGGGAGCTAGCACCTTACCATACGAAGTTTTGGGGACACAATTCAACCCATAACACTTAAAGTGTGGAATTATAGTCTTATTTATTTATATTAGTATGGAACTCATGGATACCTACTTTGTACTTAGGGTTATAATCGAATACGACTGTGTTTTGTTGCTCAGCTTTTGCCATTTGAAGCTTTTTCATTTGACTCCTATGTCCCTTTAACATACTCCCATCAAAGGTTTTGCTTTTTATTAAAAAAAATTAGCATTTCCTTGGGTGCCTGGGTGGCTAGGTCGGTTAAGCATCTGACTCTTGATTTCAGCTCAGATTATGATCTCACAGTTCCCAGGTTCAAGCCCTGCATTGGGCTCCACACTGGCAGCATGGAGCCTGCTTGGGATTTTCTTTCTCTCTCTCTCTGCCCCTCCCCCACTCATGCTCTCTCCCTCTCTCTCTCTCTCTTTCTCTCTCTCAAAATAAAAAAAAAAAAAAACATTAAAAAAACTTTAAAGAAATTAGCATTTCCTTACACTCTCTGACACCACAAAATGCTCCAGTCTCATCTTGTATAATTCCTGCCCCAGTGTGATTATCAACCCTTTCTCCAAGAACTCCAGGAGCCCTGGATCCTTTCCTTGAGAATGCTTTTAGCAACCAGGATAGGTCACCAGTTGTGCTCAGTGCTATTGAGTTGCTTCTAGCTGAGGGAGAAAGGACACAACGTGTGTATATACTATCCTATGTATATACACATATCTATACATATTTCCATATGTAACCATTTGAATCTATGTTCAGCTAAATAGGTTCATTCTACTGTGTCCAACTCTAATACAGTACTACATGGATCATTCTAGCCCTTTCTCCTTGCTTATCTGTTACCTTCTACTACAACAGCAAGAAACCTGGCACCTACCACCCACCATCCGTTCACTTAATTGTCAATCCTAGTATCCATTTATAGTAGGTTTTCATTTGCTTTTAATCCACAAAATTATTGTAGTATAAATATTTATAAACCAATCATAAATATTTAAATATGCAAAAAATCCCACACAGCAATAGCTTACATTTCCTAGGAATAACTGCAGAACTAATTGATGAAATGTAATTTCTTCTCTGGATCATTGTTAATGAGGACAGTTCCATTATTTAAGTGCAACTGGTTTTCTATTTAATGTAATACATTAAGATATGCATTAGGCCAATTAGAATAAATGATACAAACATCAACTTCATGTTTTATCAGAGTAGTAAGGAATAAAGTTTATGTAATCTCCTTCCCTGTGGATATGTTATTTGTATCCATAAGTTTTATACTCATATCCTCATATACACATATAATAAAAACTTCAATAATATTTCACAAGTAGTAAAATGATTCAGTTTCTAAAATAGAAATATAAAGGTAAAAGCTGAAAGGTGTTTTCAGTATATTAATATCCTTGACTATAAGAGGGGAAGGAAGCTCCTGATGACAGAAGTTTGTGTGGGGAGAATTCCAAATATCTCAAATATATCAAAATGTAAAATTTTCTCTTTGTTTACCATATACAACACTGAATTTTGCCTGCCCTTTACATACTATAATACAGTATAGTATTTATCAGTAGTGTTTTTCTTTCCTTTCCTTTCTTGGTGTTATACGTCTAGTTTTAGTTGCAGACCACTGCTTGCCTCAAGGACAAACAAAAAATTGAGCAAGTTTGTGCAAAGGTACAAAAAAATAAATTAAAAACAGATGGAGTTAATATACAAAATGCGTGGCATATTTCTCCGCACTGGTTACCTACGAATTTGGATCTGAATTTTCCATCAGTCACTGTGTATCAGACATCTCTTCTGCATTGCTTCAGAGTCTCTCAGCCTCACTTATTTCTTGTTCCAGCTGCCACTGTAGTGACCAGCTTTGCAAGGACCTGGAGTGACTTCACACAGATGCAACATGACAGCCCTGCACCCTGGACCGAAGCCACACCACTCCCCTGTCGCCTATCCTGTGGGCTGCTCTGTTGACATTGCTTTGGGACATTAACTCTGAAATCTCATCACTGTCATCAATAAAAGAGCATGGCAATCTGTTCCTTTTCAAAATTTAATCCCTGATGCCTTTTTTTCCCCTTCTACTGCTCTTTTCTTAACAAACTTATGCATCTGTATGTTTACTGTGATAATAGACACAGCATCAGAAATTACATGAGAGCCTGTAACACAAGAGCCTCTAGGTCTCTTATGGAGAGAATATGGTAGTTCATTAAAACATTACTAGAACTGGGAATAGCATTTTTTTTTTTTTTTTACCTTCTTTATTTGTCTTAAGGTTGAATATGAAGCTGTGAAGAGCTGCATGTATGTCAGGAGAAAAGGCTAGTTACTTTTGGCTGGCCAAGAAACAAGGGATTTAAATTTTAGTTTAGGCTCCCTGAGATCTCTCAGGGAAAAAAAAAAAAAAAAAAAAAAAAACCATATGCACACTGCATTGCTATGCAAACCCAAGCCCAGTGTTACCTGGGCCAGTGTCCTTGAGCAAACTGCTTTTACAAAGGTATTCACTTTCTATCCCATCACTTGGAACTCATTTACTTAGCCTCCTTTGTCACTAACTGACTGCTTTTAAAATAAAACTTATGTCCTGCTAGTTCTTCTGACAATACCCTGAGACAGCAGGGGGCATTCTTAATGCAAACTGGAGCACAAAATAAAAAAAAAAAAAAAAAAGAGAGAGAGAGAGAAGAACATTGACTTCCTCCCAAACCAAAGTAAAATTCAGGCTGTGAAACAATGATGCTTTCCCTCCAGTGGGGACTTTATAACCTTTTATTCATGGGAAATTCAATTAAAATGTGCATCTCTCCTGTTTCCTGAAAAATTTAATTTGCATTTTAACTTGCTACTGCTGTGCCCATGATTTTCAAATCAAATATTAAAAATGAACTTGTCAACTCCAGCAGCTTTATGCTGTGAGCTAAACACTTCATAAATTCTCTTTCATTTTGTAGTCTATTAAGATACTTATAAGTGAATGTGTAGTGTCTTAAATTGTTAATAAGTAAATTTTACAATCAGTTTTAAATTAGATTCTCTTTCCTTACTCACTAATCCACCTCATTTCCTGTGTGTATTTTTGTCTTCCTGACCAATTCATGAGCTCAGAATCCAACACAAGCCATTATGTTGTTTGAATCATCTCCGAAGTCCTGTAATCTAATATCTCATAAACTTGCTTTTCTCTTCCATGTTTCTGAGCTATTTTACATCTAAGATAATCAAGAAGGCAAAAATAATCAACATTTGTTAGACAAGTCTGCTTTTGCATGAAGAAATTATGACCTCATTATTCCTTTATAAATATTCAAGATTGTAATTCAAGATGATTTTTCTTTTTCTAATGTATAAAATGTGTATCTAATGTATATACCAATTGTAACATTTTTTACATCCTCTGTATAATTCAGAATTATCTTTACTTGCAAGTGGGAGGGGTGGCTAGATCCTGGGTCTCCTTCAGATTCTATATCTTTTGTTATCTCTTCTGTTCTGGTGGTTTGTAAACTGGCTACCAGAAAGCCTGCATTCATATCTTTCAAACTTACTAACCACAGTGGAGGGATAATCTTTCCAAATACTCCTTAAAGAAAGGTCCACAAAAGGCATATTTGTTTGACTTGGATCACGTGATATTTAGAACAAACTACTCTGGTCCAGGCTCCACAGAGCCAGAACTAGGTCACAGGAATGTCCCTATGGCTCCACAGAATCACATGTAATAGTTTTTCCCAGAAAAAAGGGCAGGAGCTGGGGGGGGGGGGCCCCCGTCACCAGAAAAAGGAGGGAGAAGAAATACTGAAAAAATAAAAACAATGGCAGCTATCAAACTGCTTATTATTCTGTTTTAGTCTTTTCTCACACTTGACTTTAGATTGTGTTCTCCTAGATTATAGAATTTACCATGTTGCATTGCAATTATTTTTATATTTCTTGCCCCAATCAAGCCCAGGACATCCTAAACATAAGATGCCAATATTATTACTTTACAAAGTATATATTTTCATTATTTCATTTTTGGAGTCTAATCCAATGTTTGGTACTTCGTAGCTCTTCAATAGATGGTTACTAATTACAGTAAACAATTACATGTACTACTATTCTATTTTCCCTGTCTCTGTTTTGGCATTCTTTTATCTTCTTAGTGAGCCCTCATAAGTCCTTTTTTGTTGTATTTTCTTTAATTTTTTCTTTTCATTTCATCTAGTTCTCAAATCATTTTTCTAGGAAGCCAGGTGAAAATATATACATAAGTTTAATAATATATTTTATTTATAATAAACACTTTCATGTTTGAGAGGGGGTGATTTCTCAGGGCAATAAAAAGAAGTAAAAATATAGCAAATTTAATTGTTTTGTTCATGAAGCACTCTCAAATATACCTAACGTCTCTGATCTCTCATTTTCTGAAGTTCATGAGAATACCTTGGTTTCCTATTGGCTTTCCCCCCTAATCTCCAGTACTCTGAGGTTACAAATTGTCATTCTTACTTAAAACGGAAGTAATTTTGATTTTGTAGTGTTGTGATGCATCTTTTGTTCTGGAATTTTAGCATATTTTCTAATTTATTGGCAGTTTATGAGTCACATGTATTGTTATTTACTTATTACAGGTCCTAAGCTAGTCTCACTCTAATTAAACCCAGTGATGTTTACTATGTTTTAGCAAGCGACATTTCAAGTCTTATCCCAAAGTTTTATGGCTCTAGCCTGGTCCTGGGGCTGTTGTAAGTTTGAGGTTGCTCTGGATCAGGCATCAGGTTAGCAGATACATTCCAGAACACCACAAAGAAAAGAAAATTAGTATAGCTTCTTATGCAGTCACTTTCCTATACCAGTTCATCTTTGTGATTAAACAGTTTTTCATTCCTATATCATGCCATCTTCAAGTGAGTTTTTGTTTGTTTCTTTGCTTTGATTTTGTTTTTTTCCCAGTTACTTTTCTCTAGAGTGTCTTCTAGAGATTTTTTTTCCCCAAGTGATGTCTATTCATCTTTACATTCTCCTTCCTCAGAAAACTTTTTCCTAGACTCTAAAAAATAATTTTTACCCTACTGTGTACTGTGACATCACTTTGTATTTTATTTACCATTTTATCACTGATCATAATCAGACATAAAAATTATATTTTTTTGTTCCCTACTATAGTGCAAATTTAATGAAACATAAGACCACCTTCTCACCTTGTCTTGGCTACTACTGACTCCCCAACCCATATATGGCACACGGTAGACTTCTTACTCCCCAGGATTTAATTATTTCTGTTTGATTTTATTTTCTTGTGGTAAGAACATTTAATAAGAGATTTGCCCATTTAATAAATTTTAAGTGGACAATATGTGATTATTGACTATTGGTACAATGTTGTATAGCAGATCTCTGAGCTAATTCATCTTGCTTGTCCGAAACTTATGCCTGTTTTATAGTAATTTCCCATTTCTCCCTCTTTCAAACCTCTGGCAACAAACATTTCACTTTTTGATTCTTTGAATTTGACTACTTTAGATACTTCATATATGTGGAATCATGCAGTATTTGTGTTTCTGTGACTGGCTTAATTCACTTAGCATACTGTCCTCAAGGTATGCCCATGCTGTTACATACTGCAGAATTTTCTTCCTTTTTAAGGCTGCACAGTATTCCATTATATGTATATGCCACGTTTTCCTTACCCATTAATCAATCTAATGATGGACATTTAGGTTGTTTCTACATCTTGACTATGAACAGAGCTGCAATGAACATAGGAGTGCTAATATCTACTTGAGATTCTGATTTCAGTTGCTTTGGATATATACCCAGAAGTGAGATTGCTGGATCAATCACATGGTACTTCTGTTTTTAAGGTTTTTTTTTTTAATTGTTTTTAACGTTTATTCATTTTTGAGAGACAGAGAGTGAGCAGGAGAGGGGCAGAGAGAGAGAGGGAGACACTGAATACGAAGCAGGCTCCAGGTTCCAGGCTGTCAGCACAGAGCCTGACATGGGGGTTGAACCCACGAACCGTGAGATCATGACCTGAGCCAAAGTTACACACTTGACCTACTGAGCCACCCAGGTGCCCCGCTGCCTGTGTTTTTAGGGTTGCATCAGTGAAATCACTGTCAAGACCAACACCATGAAGATTCCCCTTATATTTTCTTCTGGAAATTTTAAATTTTCAGGTCTTATGTTTAAGTCTTTAATCCATCTTGAGTTTATTTTTGTGCGTGTGGTGTACAATACAGGTCCAATTTTATTCTTTTGACTTTGGATATTCAGTTTTCCTGGCAGCGTTTCTTGAGGATACTATTTTTTTTTTCCATTGTGTATTCTTGACGTCACCTTTGAAGAGCAGTTGTGGACTTGTTCTTCTTTCTCAAGATTGATCTACCTGTCCTGGTCCCTTGTGGTTCTATATGGACTTTAGAAATATTTTTTCTATTTCTGTAAAACATGTCATCAGAATTTTGATAGGGATCGCATGAAATCAATCCAATGGCTTTGGGTAGTATGGACATTTTAACAATATTAAGTTTTCTAATCCATGAACATGGGATTTCTTTCCATCTGTGTCTTAATTCTAACCAGATTTAGGCTGTTTCAACTCATCGTTTTTGAGTGACATCTAAACAAGATCAGTGGTAGAGACCTTATTTCTCTTATTCATTATGGTATCCCCTAGAGCCTAGAAATTTGCTCTGTCCATAGTAAGTGCTCAGTGAAAGTTTTCTGAATAAGTGAAGGAATCTTAATGTATCAAATAATAAAATGCCTTAGCATCAAAGACCTAGTTGCTGAGCGAGTGGTGCCCTCTGGTGACCAAAAATCATCATTATAGCCTTTTTCTTAAACCAAGTGACTGGCTTTTGGGTTTCTCTTTTGTGTCTAGCCCTTCATAACATAATATACCTGGGGGTTGTCACAAAGTGATTCCCTTAAGAGCCCTAGTGCAATCGTAGATGTATAAGAGTAATATAAATTTGTTTCATTTTACAGTTTTCTAAAGTC